AATATATCAAGATGCAGCTCAGTGCCAACTCAATTCTCAATGCAGAATTTTAATAAGACTTTAATTTATCACCCGAGAACACAAAACCGTGAACAGCATATGTTTGTTTACCCAATTACCCAAATGTAATTACAGAAGCATAATTTTCAGTTTTGCTTTTTGGCTAAATGAAAACTTTCAGTTTCTGTGTTTCAGAAAAAAATAATAAAATTTCCAAAAAAAAATTTTCGGTGTCTCATTTCCAAAAAAAATAAAAGTTTTTTTAGCGCCTCATACTTGAGCAACTTTATTATGACTGGTTTATAATTTATCATCCAAGAATAGGACACTCTGAACAGCCAGAAAGGTTCAATGACCCATTTAACTAAATTTAATTACAGAAAATTTATTTTTGTCTGAACGAAAACTTTTGGTCTTGGTGTTTCGTTAAAAAAAATAATTTCAGTGCCTCATTCCCCAAGAATTTTATTACAACTGGTTTAATTTATCAGCCAAAAGCATAACAACCAGAACAGCATAAAGAGTTAAATGACCCAAATTTAATTACAGAAACTTTATTTTTAGTTTTCAGCTAAATTAAAACTTTCAGTTTATGTTTCAGTAAAAAAATAACTTTGATGCGCTAAATTCCTGAAAACTTTACTTCAAATGGTTACATTTATCAACCAAGAACATTACACCCTGAACAGCATAATGAGTTTAACCGGTTTGTTAACCAAATTTAAATTGCAAAAACGTTTGGTTTTCGGCTATATAAAAACTTTCAATTTTTATCAAGTTTCGGTAAAAAAAAAAAAAACTGGCGCATCACTAGAAAACACTAAATAGTTTTTTTTGCACATGTACCATGTTAATACTGTGAGCATGATATCATGTAATATCCTGGTATTCTTTGGAGTACCACATAAATACCATAGTATATGAATTGTTTACTTGGAAAATTCCCTTTTTTCAATGTTTTTGTTGACATGTATTATGTGTTAATACCAAAGTGTTTTTAAAGTTCCATTTAAATAATTGCATATGAAAATAGTAGGCCTAATTATTAAGTACCGTGCCACGGTCTCTTAAGCAAGCTATGAAATGCATTTATAATACCAAAAAATGCTACCTAAGTAGGCAGCTCACTAGGGTTTTGAGACACAGCACCAGAGACTCTTGTGTTTGACTGTCTTAGACATTTGTTTATAAGTGCGGCCCCTGTCCTGCTGACCGCACACAGAAAGAAACTTTCAGAAAGAGCCCACTCTAATTACTCCGTCTTTCAGTCCTCTATGAAAAATGACAAACTAGAAGGGCAAGACAAAACAAATTAAGCCTGAAAAACAAGGAAAACATTGGAGAGAGGGGCCGCGGGGTGCAGGATGGGATCTGAGGGGGTCTCTACAGTTGAGACAGCACTGAAGAGCATTCCAGAGCAAGCGGAGAACAAAAGCACGCACACACACACACACAGCGCACACAAACAATGGCGCGGACGCTGGGAGACACAACAACGGCACATCAGGACTCCCTACCCCCTCATACATGCGGAGCGGGCCACTGATTTTAATGTGAAGCGTCCACTGAGTCCTGGCATTTGGCAAAGACAGATGCTGAGAATGGGCTCACACATACAAGCTGGGCTGCGCTGGGAACAGATGGGGGAAGGGTCGCCCCACACGGGGACACATCCCTCCGTTTCTAAGGGAGAACGTCAGCATTGATCAGTGACGTGGAGGTCATTCTACCTACATACACACACACACACACAGACTGATGCATGCATTAAAGTACAAACGGCACTGAACAGGTGGACCAATAAAAAAAATGTTTTCCAGAAAACATATCATGTATCCGAACAGACAGCTGTTTGGAACATGGACAAAAGTGTGTGTGTCGCTCCACACAGACTAAATAGCTCCTCTTTCACTCACTCGGCTCTTAGACGCACTTTGAGCATAATCTTAATATGTGTTTCCACTGTGGTTTGATGTTTTATAGTTTGTGCATTAGCAGAGCATAAACGCATCGCTTTGCTGCGCTGTCCAATGGTGATTCAATTGTGAAAGGGAAACAAATGCATTAACAAACATAAGGTTGAGTCATATTATCTAGTGCTAGATTGATACATCAGCCATTTTGAGATTAGCATTGCTGAAAATAGTAACAATAATAATTAATTTACTCACAAAATGTCATTCCAAACTCCAATGGAAAACAAAAGGAGATATTTCAAGCGGCTCTTTTCCATGCAATGAAAGTGAATGGTGACCAAACTCGGTGTAGCTCTAAAACGCACAATAAAGGCGTTATAAAAGCAGTCCATACAACTTGTGCGCTATATAGTCTACAGAAATCATATGTTAGCAACATATATGTGAGGAACAGACAGTGACAGACAGTGAAAAACTCAGACATGCCATGGTCACCATTCACTTTCATCGTATAGAGCAGAGCAGTACAGACTTTCTGCTAAATATCTTCTTTTGCCTTTCACAGAAGAAAAGAAAGTCATAGAGGTTTGGAATGATATGAAGATGATAAAATGATGACAAAGTATTCATTTTTGGATGAAACATTCCTCGATTTAATGCCAAATATTATAGTAAATTTAGTTAAATAAATGTTTCAATTTATATTTCAGCACGGTTGTGGATCTCAATTATTATTTTTCAATGGTATTATGTAAATGTCCACATTATATTGACCAATGTGGTCTCTAGATATCAGTATTGGCCATATAAAAAAATAACACTAATAATTAGGGCTGCACGATTAATTGCATGCGATATTTAACGCGCATCTTCTGACGAGTTGTGCAAAACCACGTTCATATTCGCGCGATTTTTTGCGCAGCTCGTCAGTGAACAACGGCTCTGTGTAGTTAATGCTGCTCAATGTGAAAGCACGCAGGTGATGGAGATTTACCGCTGATTACAGAACCGGCTTTCTGACAAGATGCGCGTTAAATATCGCATTCGATTAATCGTGCAGCCCTACTAATAATGCATTTAAACAATATTGGACCCCATTGACTTCCATTGTATGGATGCCGAGACATATTTTTCAAAATAATTCCTTTTGTGTTCTACATAAGAAAGAAAGTCATACGGTGTTGGAACAACATGAGGGTGAATTTTCATTTTTGGGTTGAGCGGACCTTTCATTTCAAAAGTGGATCACAATATCTCTTCACAAACCAAATTACCAATCAAAGATTTCTCATAAATATACACAGCCTGACCCAGCCTGGCTTTGTCCCAAAACTCAACCCGAGGCTGCAAGTAGCGCAAAAGCATATCAAAACTAATCTAATGCTGCACTGTAAAACCGAACAGTGAAACTGATTAAATGAAATGAGTTAACTTCACTCAAATAATAATGAAAGTTCATTGGACTTAATTGAAATAAGTTCTGTAAATTTAAAATGTTGTTGTAGTAAGGTGAACTTAAAATGATTGCGTTTTTTAGTTCCCAGCATGCTTTGCATGAGACAACAAGGAAAATAAATGTAGAAATTAAGTGTTATTTTGTGTGTTTTTACACAAGATTAACATAGAGAGACATAAGTTAGTACTTAAATGTTGTGTTATGTTAGGATTTACATAGGTTTCTGTTATGTTGGTTTTGTAGTGTTACTGTTGTGGTGAAGAGTAGAGCCTGTGGTTAGGTTGAGGATGGACAGCAAATCTTAAAGATTATTTATACTGCATGTTGTTTGACTATTTACATGCAAGTATTGTGAGTCTTTTAGATAACTACATTAGTGTGTGCAAGTGTGTTGTTGCTAGCTAGCACTTAACTATAAAGATCTGAATGAATGTGCTTGTTAATGGAAGCAAGTTGTATATAATTATCATTGTGATGAGTGGGGTGGGACCATGGAAGTGAGGCTTGGCTTGGCTCCCATGGCTCTAAGCCCCGCCCCACTTATCATAAAAATTTTAAGCTCTACTAACTTAATAAATTTGAGTTTGTTTACTCAAATATTTTGAGGCAATAAGTTTCCTCAAATGTTTTGAGTATTCTTAACTTACCAGGTTTTACAGTGTGGGAATAAGTGAGTCATCTATAAAAGTGAGAGTTGGTGGAAAAACAAACCAGAGGTAGTTCACAATTTCCTTTACATTTCTAGTGAAAGAGTTTCTGTTTTTAGCTATCACAGTGAATTGGCATGCACTTTTCTCTATATGCAAGCATGCATTTGATTATGTATGCAAGGCAAGTATGCACATATCTGTGTCTAGCTGACCCGATATCACTCTGTATTCGCCTAACGCAGGGCAGTGTCGCATTTCAGAGAGTGTGTGTCTCCCATTGATGTGCGGAGCACGCCAACATCATCCGAGTGCAAAGCGGTGTGAAGCCAATCTTATGAGGATGGAGAGAAAAAAGTGAATTCAGCACATTAATACGTGCAGCACACACACACACACACACGCACACACACACACACACACACACTCTCTCTCTCTCTCTCTCTCTAGTGGAGGATCTGAAGTGTGCAGTTTGTGTGTATGTGCTCCTTGGGTTTTAATTAAAAGATGCACTGGGCCCCTTGAGAATTCATACACACACATGCACCGGGGGCCGCCTGTAAATTTACAGCACTTTCATGGATGCTCGGGACCCTGTGAGCTCTCCACCTTGTCATTGCACCACGCATGCATTAACATCCACCACACCTCCGACAACTTTCTCTGCCCTCTGCATGTCCACAAGTCCTCTATGTACAGATATTCCCCCATGACAACTTAAATCAGTCTACTTCTCCTGAATGCACTCACAACATCAATGCACAACCACAATTTACCCGTAAGATCCACTGCAAAAGGTCTACCTAAACCCCAAAAGCGTAACACAGCCAACGCAACGCATGCCTTTACTGCGGAATAAACCTGCTTCAGTACTTGCCCCCCTTCATTCAGTCTGCCCCCACCCGCTGCCCAGCCAACTTTCACTCCCAAACGCAGTTAGTTGATCAATAAGCACATTGCATATGACTTCATTTCGCATACCTATCCTCGTGAGTAATAAATCCGCTCGGTGAGTGACAGGCGCCGGCGCGCTACTTTGCCGTATCCATGAGAAGTTCCGTATCCGACCGCGCATCGGTAGAGCGACCGTCTCGCCGAAGCTCCTGCAACAGCAATGTGCTCCGGCGTTCACACACGCGCGTTCTTACACACATACACACACTCGCTCGGCGTGGGACCGGTGAAGCGCGCGCACGGAAGGGGGGAAGAGCGACTCCTGCGGGTGCGAGCATAGCGCAGCCTACTGGACGAGCACACACACACACACACACACACACACACACACACACGGACGGATGGACGGTTTGGCATCATTTATCATTTGCATGTATTGTATCAGTAATTTCTTTAATAAGTATTTATTATTTAAAGATTACATTATGCAATTATAAGTTAAAATATATTTAAATTATAAATATTTAATTGCATACTTCATTTTCACTTCATATATATATATATATATATATAATTTGTAAAAGCAGATAACTCATAGATACAGATAACATATAACAATTTTCACTTTAAATTTCACTTTTTATTTTATTGTGTGTTCTTGTCTTTTTTATGTGTCCAAGTTTAATGCTTTTGTTCATGTTAATCTTTTTTTTTTTTTAATGGTTTTAATTTTAGTTACCCCGACTCAAGCTACCCACTGTTTATGTTTTGTCTGTTTGCAGGCAATTTAGTTTTGGGCCTGAAAACAGACAAAACACTCTATTAATAAGACTGAATTGTGCTGTACAGCACTGTATTTGAGAACAGCTGGACGTTGCGGTAGCAGTGATAAATGGGTCAACGCTGCATAAGTGCGCTGGTCCACTCGTGCTGAAGCTCGGGCGCGTCCAGCTGAGTGTCAGAGTGATGAGCACGGGCGGCTACGGGTCCTTTTAGAAATGAACTGCCGTGTAATTAATGTAGCCATGATATAATGCACAAATCGATTTCCATTGTACACCCCTGACTGCATGGGGACAGGAGGGGCTGATTTTTCTGTCCCGCTGGTGTGCTGTTAGGCGGATATCCACTTATCATGCAGAGCTGACATCAAACGCACGAGGTGAGTGGGTGAGGGTCAGGTTTGCTATCTTTGATGAGACCAAATGAGAGTGGCTGAAATAGCCTTCTTTGTATAGCTCTCACGATGGAAACAGCTTCATAAAGGGATTAAATAATATCTTAATTAAAATCTAACAATGCCAAAAGGTTTCTTTAAGGTGTAGGCGTAAGGTTAGGATGTATTCATTATAATTAGCCTAATTTAAAAACAATACAAACCGCAATAATGCACAGAAATAAAAGTGTGTGTGTTGGAGAAATGAGGTGTAAAGTGGCATAAACAGACAGCTTTGGATTAGACTGCATTTATTTGATGAAAAAATACAGTATTATTGTAAAATATTATTATGATTTAAAATGTAATTTAAACTGTATTTTATTCCTGAGATGCAAAGCTGAATTTTCAGCATCATTACTGCAGTCTTCAGTGGCACATGATCTTTCAGAAATCATTCTGATAAGCTGATTTGCTGCTCAAGAAATATGTATTATTATAATTATTACTATTATTATTAATGTTAAAAACAGTTGTGCTGCTTCATATTTTATATATAATATTTTTAATCAGGTTTTATTTTATATTTTCCATTTTTATTAAAATAATTGTATTGCTTTCTTTGTAGTTTTTGTTGTTTTATACGTGTCTATATAGTTTTGATACATTTTTATATCAGCTTTTGTTTTAGTTATTTTAGTAGCCTACATCAAGTTAAACTAAAATGAGAAATGTTGAAAACTAAAGTAATTAAAATGTTTTTTAATGGTTTTAATTTTAACTTATTTACATGATTTACATGAAGGTGTAGGTGTAATGTTAAGATGTGCTAATTATAATTAGCCTATAATTTAAAAACAATATTAGCCAATAAAGTCATTATAATGCAGAGACATAACACAGAAAACTGAAAACCCATAGCACAGAAACTGCACTTGTTAAAATTACAAATGACTTGCTTCTTGCGTCAGACCAGCTTTGACACAATCTGTATTGTTAAAAGCGCTATATAAATAAAGGTGACTTGACTTGACTTGACTTGACATAAAAAGTGTGTTAGAGAAAACAGGTGCAAAGTGGCATAGATTGAAAGAGACAGCTTTGCTTTTTGCACCTTCAGTGTGTGTGTGTGTGTGTGTGTGTGTGTGTGTGTGTGTGTGAGTTTGCTCATGGCTGAAGGACAAAGGGTGTGATGTAGAGGTCAGAGCCACCGGCCTACATGATGTTTATTACCATAAGATCTACGATTCCCCACCAACAGGCAGATGAACATCTATTTAATGGACGCAGAGCATCGATTACATGCAAACACACACAGAAAGTTCAGAAGCGTAGGCGTTGGCAGAGCAAAAGGAATAACAATCATTTTAGTGAAGTGCACTTTTTTCTGATGGCAACCAGGCATATTGTTTTCCCAGCTATTTTATGTTTATTATTGATTTTTTTTCTTCCATTTATGAAGGCTGCTTTTTTTATTATTAAGACATCTGTCTCGTGTAGCAGCGGCACGCGGCAAGCGCTGATGAACTCCTGATGTTAACACCATTCTGGAGCCGCTCTGGATTTGACTGGCTGCCAATCTCTAGTGTACATACAGGCCTCAGAGACACATACAACTACTGAAGCTCAGAGCCGGTGACTCGAGGCTTCATACCACAATTACATTAGTGGTGAGGACAGAGATCGCAGAGACATTCTGGTGAAAGTTGGACTGTTTTATTCAGCTGGGTGAAGCTTGTTTCCTTTGGTTTAGTTTATGGTCAGTATAGAGGATTTGAGGGTTGAGGTTTGGGTTATGACTGCAGGTTTGTATATATATATATATTTCTTTCTTTTCAAGGCTGCATTTATTTGATGAAAAAACAGTAAAAACAGCAATATTGAAAAATATTTGTACTATTTAAAATAACTGTTTTCTACTGTAATACATTTTAAAGGGGTCATATGATGCGATTTCAATTTTTCCTTTCTCTTAGGAGTGTTACAAGCTCTTGGTGCATAAAGAAGATCTGTAAAGTTGCAAAGACTAAAGTCTCAAATCCAAAGAGATATTCTTTATAAAAGTTAAGAGTCAGCCACACCTACCTAAAACGGCTCGTTCTAACACGCCCCAACATACCTACGTCGCTCTGTGGGAAGATTTGCATAACGCCGCCCAAATGTTCACGCAAAGAAAGAAGGCGTAACTTTTATTCTCGCTGTAGTATTGTTGCCGCCGCCATATCCTGAAGACGCTGTGTGCTTCGTTGTGAAAGCGAAACTACTTTGTTTGGTCTTCCAAAAGAGGACGATATCCGCTTCGTCATGCCTGGAGCTGATCCGTGCTGGTTGCTGAGGGAATACAACAGTATGGTGAGGGGCGTAACATTTCCGTCTCACGCTTGAGGTATTCGGCCAATCACAACGCACTGGATAGCTGGCCAATCACAGCACACCTCGTAATTTATAACATTAAAAATGTCTTTACTGACACTTTTGGTTAATGTAATTATTATATATAAGCAGAATGTGCTTTTATTTTTCCATTTTCTTTTTAATTTTTGTGTGGTTTTGTCACCTTTAGCTTTTGTAGTTTTTATATAGTTTTAATTCATTTTAATTAATTATGCATATTATTGTATGTATATATATATATATATATATATATATATATATATGTATATATATATAGCTAATAAATATGTTATTTTATTATTACAGCTAAAAATATTTACTGATATTTTTGAATACTTATATATCAACATATATCTATTAATTAGAGCTAGTGTCAAAACTAATTATAATTATAGTGATAATCAGTAGTATTTAAAGAAATATGTATTTCCCTTCTGTGAACACTACTGTGTGAACATTAAAATTAACATAATTAACATCTATTTTTAAAAACTGAACCAACTGTACAAACTGATTCACAAAACCAATCATTTGAACCAAATGACTCACTGAATTTCGAAATTCGGCCTTTCCAATGCAATTAGAGAATCATTAGTAAATTAGTTACACCAATTCATGTCTTTCATTCCCGGCAAATACATGAACTTAAAACATTGAAAGCAATGCAAGTCAGTTTGGATAAAAGTGTCAGTCAAACCCACAAATATAAAATTCCTGTCTCATCTCACTTGTACGTAGAGATTCGTCCTGCTACACTGCTACTAAAAATGGCTTATACTGGTAAAGCTGGACTGTTTGGAAAACAGACACATATTGAGAGTTTAAGCGTGACTGACTGAGAATGTTTGTGACATTTTCTCATTTAAGCTATGAAACTCAAGCCCCATTGACCAATCACAGCTTACCATAACAGACACTAATGGTCCAATGAGACGAGCCGAGTCGAGCCCTGGCGCTAAAGGACATAATTGCGTTTGTGGAGAATGATTGTTATTTTCAGTTGCTCATGCAGAACCGTCAATGACCCTCTAGACAGCAGTTAAACCGAGATCTAGAGAACCCTAGACACATAGTATGGCTCTTTAAACTGCCTCTTTTACATTTATTCAGTGTGCATGTTTGAGCGTGTCTGTAATGTCACACACGTGGCCTATGCATGTTAGAGAACCTGGATTATGGTGATTGAGTTAGTGTTTGGTGCTTTGGGACCCTCATTAGCTAGAATTCTTGATTGAAGAGAACAAAGAGTGGATGGATATTAGCTAAAAAGTATAAGATGAAGCAGGGCTTAGAAATGAACTGCTCATTTTTACTAGTTGACATGGTCATCCAGAAAAGTAGTCAACGGGGATAAATGACTGGCTTATGTAAAAGACATATATGTGGCAGAACTGGTGAAACCCCTAGTTCATTAATAAATAAATGTAAAACTATAATTTGCAAAATGTGTGTACAAAGACTTTTTAATTACTTTACTTCATTCTAGAGATGACACAAATGCAAAAAAAAAAAAAGGCTTTATGATTTAGAATTGGAAAAGATTAGCTATTTTTAAAATGGTTGTTTATACAAATACAAAAAAATTTAAGATTTATAAAATACTACAGGCAGAACTCATAATGTGCATTCCTAACAAGTTGCCATATGAACAACCATTCAGTAACTAA